TATATAGGGTGTTTCATAAGATGGGTACGAGCCACGTTGGGGGTGGAGAATGGATCAAAGGGAACAAAAAATTCTTATACTATTTTGAGATACTCGCTATAGTTTTCGAATTAGAAAAGGAAATGTCTAAGTCAATATGCGATTAAGCCGCGCTGCGTGAATTCGTAGGACGGCTCGAGCGGCGGCGGCGGCGGCGGCGGCGCGCAGGGAGAGGGAAGTAGCGCTTCGTTGCCTAGCACAGTCTGATATGGCGGTTCTATGTGTTTCGCCGCATCGCGCCTACATTATCCAAAAATGTTTTAGTTGAAGTTTTCCTTATACATTTCTTATCATTATAAATCGCGTTATTTAGCACGATTAAATACGTTTTAACACAATTATAGATATGTTAAGCGATGTAATTAATTAGAGAATTACGCAAAGCTTATGCTGATCGTCGCGATACCTTTCCGCTTGCTTTATTATACGATGTTTCTATTTAATTACGCTTCGAGATACATTTCGTCGCGTCGTTTTATGCTATATTTAGTCGGAGTTTTATTTTTTGACATGTTAATGCATGTACACTGAAATTATAGTATAAGCTCGCGTAGATAGTCGCTACATTGTAAATCCAGATATATTATTTCATGTACAATGACGCATTTGACTGAGGTTTTTTTTCACATATTTCTTACCATTTAACAAGTTTAATTGTATATCATTAGAAACGTTTTTAAATTTTATTATTCTTTAATGTTCATTGATGAATAACATTTAAATTTTCTGTTACTAAAAAGATTATTTATGTATACGTTAATGAGATATTTAAATCTGTAGTAATTGAAAACTGAAATGTATTGAAAAACACTAATTGAAAATTGAGTATTTTAGTTTATTTTCATTAAACTATCCAACAAATTTAATGCCCATATTCATTACATTAAAAAAAATCTGTAACTTACAAGGAAAGAGACCCAACTGCTGTTCTCCGATTTTAATGAGCAGTATGTTATAGATAATAAATAATTTTTTATAATAAAAGTATTTTTAATAAAAGCATCTCCTCTATGTGTTGACTGTTTTTTTAAAGTTATATAACTTATATAATTATATCATTATGTGTTATATACTTATATCACATATGAATAAAAAAATTAAAAATTTAAGTTACTTAATAATCTAATTGTAGTTATTTAATTTCATTTTAAGAAAAATTAGGACATTATGATCTAAAAAATAATTTTTTTCAAAGTTAACTTTTTTTTAATTTAAGTTAATTCAATTGACTTAATTTATGTTAAGTTAATTTTTTATTCCTTCAACTTTTAACTTAACATTATTAATTTTGTAAAGCCATTAGCTTTAACTTTATTCAGTTAAAAAAAAAACATTAACTTATCCAACCCTGATATATTTAAAATGTCAAGTATCGAAAATAAATATTAAAATATACATATTGCAGCTTCAGATAGTTTTAGACTACGCGCAGTAACAATGATGTTAGATGTTGAATGATTTATTGCAGAATCGCATCAGACGAAAATAATTTCATTGCGCAAACGATAGTTGTTTCTAATGCAATCGAAAACAAAATGATGACATGTTCACATCCACGTGATTAAATCACGATGCCAAAACATGTAATATGTATATTGTAATATACTTACAATTATTATATATATCATACGTTTAAAAAAAAATATATATATTAATAATAATCACTTAATTTTTTCTTTTCTGTTTTGTATCGATGTTATTACACAGGATAACTTCTTCGAAGCAATTACTATCGGATCAATACTGAAGAGCAATTATTAAAGAAAAGTAAAAACATGGAAATGACAGATGATCACATTGGGTGGACACAAACGGAAATTATAAATGATGACAAGTCAGATCGCAAAACATATGATAATATTCAAAATATCGTGAAAGAAAGCGTATCAAGTACAAAAAATCAATGTAATGATGGCATAGATGAATTTGCAAAAAATGCAATCAAAAATGAATATTATGAATTTGTAGAGGCAAAGCACGCCGTTAAATACATTGAATATTGTGCAAAGCATCTAAAGCATATTGTCGATCAAAATTCTGCGAAACCGAAAGATTATGACAAATGGACGGATAAAGAACAATGTGAACATATGTTAAATAACATAAAAACATATGTCCCAAATGTACCAGACTCTTTATTATTTTTTATACCTGCTGTATTTCGTCGGGGAGATTGTGGAAATTCAACGGACAAGCCACTCTGGTTAGATATGGAAAAGTTCCAGAGAGGTCAAAAATTCGCACGAGACCATATTTTTTCGCTTTTTATTGCTAACGCATTATCACTTTTCATGTTATTCACTTCTATAGATGGTCTTAAAACGTTAATCTTCACCCAAAAATCTCATACGCCATATTTAGCGTTCAAAAGGTATGACAGATAAAACTTTTTATATCTATATTTATCGGTCGCATTTCTGCTGAAGAACTGATAACTAATCTTTAAATGTTGAAAGAAGATTCAATAAGTGAATATATATATATATATTGAATCAATTTAAAAATTGTCTTTCGAATTTAAATTTCAAATAATTCGATGAGATATAGAGTTTATATCAATATTATTCAAATAATAAATGATATGATACATTTTATAATCAGTTTTTCTGCTACGCCGCGTTTTTAAAGATTTTAATTGAACTGATATAAACTTAATGGTTACATATGTTACATATTTATATATTCTACGTAAAAAATATTATACCCGTCATTACTTTTTGCGTAGAATATAATCCTGATAGCAACATGCAATTTGGGATCAAATTGGCAGAAAACTCGATTAGATTTTGACTATAAAACCATAGCTATTTATGTCTGCATTTGATTATAGATTTGTCAATAAAGCCTACTGACAAGCTATGCCAACAGATTGATGGCAGAAACAAGGCTCTGCTCGAATCAGATTCTGCTCTCAATCTGCCGTCAGTGCAAATTATGCAGGACTTTGCTCGGTTCCTATTACCAATCTGCTGGTGTAGCATGTCTAGCAGGTTTTGACATATTTCTGACAACAATTTGCTGACAATGTCAGATAATACAAACTTTGTGTACTTGTTGCTTTTCTGCAATCAAAAATTGGTAGCAAGATCTGCTCGAAATCTGTCTCTGCAGGCTTTGCTATCGGCTATATACATATTTATACATTCTAAAAATAATGACAGGTAAATTGTTAAAAAGATAATTATTTAGTTCTGGGGACTCAGCTCCGATGACTTGATCTTGATATATGTTATCAAGTTCATAATTCTAAATAACTTTGTCTTAACAGTTAGTGACGGTCTCTTACAGTTTTCAAGTTATTTAGAATTAAAGTGTAATTTTTATAGAAAACTTTAATTAAACTATTGTATAAAGGAAAACAACCTTCAATCTTAACTTTCTGAAAAGCTGAGTCCCTAGAACTAAATAATCACCCTTGATTATACATGTATAATTCATATTTAAAATTAACAATTATAAATTATAGTAATTAATACTGATTATTTTTTAAAATTAAGAACAAAAAGCATTTTTAAATATTCACATAGCAACATATTGGATACGTTTATTTTTTGTAATCACACATTGTAAGCATTCTTTCTTCCACTTGTAATGAACGATAACGATAAAATAAAACTTACAATGTAAACACCCAACATAAATGAACTTATCATTTCTAGACTTTGATGATACATGAAATAATGATTAAAATAATTAATAAGAAACAATTAATAGATTTTTTTGTATCTAGAGAAAAAAAGATGCTAGATTAGTTGTATCTAGCATCTTTTTAGTATAAATCAAACATTTGTCAATAAATTAATAATTATTGTTTAAGATATTTGTCCTCGAGTTGTCGTGAAAGAATTTGGATGACGGGAAATCCGTGGATTAAGGGCACGCGAGCTTATAACGATATACAAATTGTGCGTAGAATGCACCGTGCGGTGCGATTGAAACTCTGCGAACAAAACCCTGAGAAATTCGACAGAGCGACTAAAATTCGAAATCCATGGTGTCCGAGCAAAAAAACAATTTTAAAAGATCTTTCTTCATTGATAGTAGAAAACGATTTTCTTCATTTGGCGCCCAAATTCACAGGATTAAATCAAGCTGATATGGCAAGTACGCAATTTGCTTTCATGGGGATAATTCTGTTGTATCCTCACCAATTTGGCATTTATGCTAGTGATGAAGATATGGAAGCCTTTTGTCATACATGGAAAGGTATAGGATATCTTCTTGGTATAGAAGATCAGTAAGTACTGATATACCTATAAATTAATGACACACTAAATCTGATATATTAATAATAAGACTATATTAATAATAAGACTTTATTGTATGTTTAATTAATAACGATAACTTTCCGATTTTTCTTTTAGCTTTAAAACATTTTTTCTTAATAAATTTAAACACTAAATTTATTTTAATACTAAATTTAATCTAAAAGTTCAATTTAAAAATATAATTTTATTCAATGCAAACTCTTGCTTCTGATTTGTCTCTTACATCTTAATAACTTTATATATCCGCATATTATAATAAACTTTTTCTCTCCAATATTTTTCTTACTTATCATCTACGTCTCATTGGAATTTTGTGTTTGACGGAAATAAATGTCTTAGATACAATTTCTGTAACGGCAGTTTGAAAGAAATTAAGCAAAGATCGCACGATTTTGTTGAATTTTGGCTAAAATTCTATTTGCGAGAAGTAACACCCGAATGGGAACATATGTTGAGATGCATTACGGAAAGTATGAATTATTTGTATGGTAATAATTTCACATTTGAAATGTTACTATTGTTCGTCACCGACTTATTGAACATCGATATGCCACGTTTACGAAGTATGCTCACTTATTTTCAACGATTTAATCTTATGGTTTTACGGTAAGTATTACAAGCCAGATGAGTACGAATACATAAGAATCCTCTGATGTTTATAGAAATCGAGAATCCGATATACAGGGTTATTCAAAATGATTATTGAAGTTTTCCTGAGTTTTTTGTGCGTATTAAGAAAAAATATACTAAATTTTAATAAATATTTGTTAAAGTAGTGCCAATTACTTACAGTTAAACATTTACTTACAGTAAATAAATATTTTTTCTTTAAAAAAATGATAGTTAAATCAATTAATGATTCTTCGTTTTAAACAAATGATTTGCTAAAATTTTATATATTTTTTCAATGCAATATATTTAACACGGAGTTATAGAAATACTTGTAAATAGCGTAAATGTTAAAAGTTTTTCAGTTTACGTGTGTTTGTGTAAAGCTTTGTGTTCACAATAGTAGAAATCGTTTTACGATGCTAGAGATTTTACACAAAGAAAGAGTTGATCAATTGCATTGATCAAATGACCGAATTGTTCAAATCCTATCTGTTAATTCTTTCTATAAGATTTTGAAGCGATTTCTAACATTGTAAGGTTTAATTAAGTTGTTGAATGTGACGATGAGAGACTTAAAATAAAAATTTTAAAAGTTCGGCTTTTTATCGGTATGAATATCATAATTGTCGTTTATTAAAAAATGCATTGTTCACATAAATTCATAAAAATGATTTTAAATAACTCTGTATTATTGATATTAATACAAACTTTACGATCCAGACTATTTCTTATAAATCAGTAAAGATGCAATATTTCAGCCTCAACTTTATTTCGTCAATTAAAGAATCAAAGAATTTTTAATATTTTGTTAGAAAAATTTATGAAAATCTATTTTTGAGATAAAAAATATAATTTTCTGAATATAATTGTATACATAAATTTAAGTTTCTGAAGAATTTGAACTTGATATAATGCCATCATAA